GGAGATAATATTTATTACCGGGAGTGGCAATGTTAAACTTATGGTATTTGTAGACAAAATTGCACTAGAGTAATTTTGTGGATAAGTCGAGGAATCAGTAATGTGATAATCTGCCCGATCAGGAAACGAAAACCATTATAAAGGAAATAAAGATAAAATTTTCGTTAACTTATATACACATATATAACTCGGGGACTCTTAATTTAACAGAAATAACGCTACAGTATTAGCAGCCCTTTGATTGTTGGTTCTTGCATTCTCTTTATTTGTCAGGGCAAAAATTCTATTGAACAAGTCTTGACACGACATTATCCTGCGTCAGAGACGGTTTTAAGTGCACGCGCGCACATATGTGCACACCACGTACTTGGGCGAAACATGGGGGAAGAATAATCATCGTTTCATCATTTGTATTATTCATTAAAGTAATGCTAAATTCTCTTGACTGGTTATGTTCAGATGAGCTTTTGTAAAACGTAACGATTTAAATGTCAAACATCGAGTTTGGTGCTGGGCAAGCTCTAGGAGTAATAATTTAAACGAACAATATTTCATTTTCAAAGCCAAAGAGCGATAGTAGTTTAGAAATTGAATTCTTTTTAAATAGCAATAATAACAATAATAGGAACAATATATATATAGCAGAAATTAAGAAGAATAATTACGACAAAATTCTCCACTTAGAAGGCAAATTCTCCGAAAGGAAGCCAAATCTGTTTTCAAAAAATATTTGAATTAAACTACCAAGTGTTTCTACCGTAGTGCGGATAATCCTTCGCACAGAGCATTGGTTATACGTCTTTTAGTAAACTGCTTCTCATTTGAACGCAGATCATTTTGGTGTTGAGTTATGTATGGCTTTCGTTATTCATAATTTATTTCGAAAAAATAATGGGAAAATAAGGGATAAATTTGGCGTTTGTGTGTTTACAATGATTCAAACAATAAGAAAACTTTACATATGTGAATAAAAACAAGTAAGAACATCACAATCGGACAAGGCCAACCATTAAATAGCCGACTCCACATTGTCTAACACAATCTTTCTTTTTGTTAAAGCACACAAATATGATATCTTCCTTTTACACAACAGCATGTTCTTCATGTATTTATGGGGAAGCAGACACAAATCGCAACCTAATGTAGTAGAAGTTAAATCCTTACATAGGGCAGGACCCAAAAATAGATGGCCCAAATTTGGTACAGTCAATTTCTTTATGTTAAATCACAATTATGATATAATTTCGATTATGAAGCATTGAAATTTTTGTCGTAAGAATTCCAGTTTCCGTTATATGAAAGTAGTTTCAAAAACTGCCACAGCCGTCCCAAAGATTTCACCAATTTAGAATGCCGAAATAGTACTACTTAGGCACTTTTGCCAAGAAATTTTGAAAATTACAATTTTTTCCATATAACGACTTTTCAGAATAGGGCGTTATATGGGGATAGGTCGGAAAAGAGGACTGATGCGAACCATTTTCAATAGCGTTCGTACACCACTCACCAAATTTCAAATGGCGTCACTACACCAAATTTCATCAAAATGTCTCAAAAATCTCGATCTGCAGCATGAACGTAAATTTACATGGACAGACATCAGAGGATTTGACAGACTTAGACCAAATCAAATTATGATACTGAAACGACCACTATGAAGGTCTGTTTTAAGCTCTTATGTGTGTTAAGTACGTCCGCATTAACTTAATGTAGCGTACGTAACAAATGGTGTACAGTATAACCCAATTCTGACGTTTTTGATAAAATGAAACGAAGCGAAATAATTTCATATAATCACATTAGTTTTATTTCGTTTCTTACGAAAACTTTAATTTATTCACTTCAACTTTGAATTTCAAAATATATCGTTTTATTTTATATAATAACATCATTCATTACTATATGAACTTACTTTTAGAGAATTTAAATTTATATTATATAACTTTATATTTTCACAAAATATTTTAAAGTGGATGTCATATCTTTCATTCCTACACAATTCAATTTGAAATGCCGAAGATATACCGATTCTTATTTGCTCATTTTTTCGCTTCAATTGGGAATTTTTTCGAAAAACGCCGACGCCGTCGTCAAAATAAGTTGCCTTGATCTAGCAAATCAAAAGTTTACTTGCATAATTTTCATGCGGTCGCAAATCTTACTAATAAAATATCTATATACGTATATGCAAGAATATACATGCAAGTAGATAAACTCACCACCATCCCATTCAGATTATGTAACATTTGGTTGTGTCTTTTACCATTTGTTACAGATACAACCCTGCATGGATGGGTTTGTCAATTTCACTCATTAAAACAAAAGGAAAATGACCTTGAGTAGGTTCTTGATGTGGTTTCTTTTGGGTCGAAGAGGAAAACAGTGATGTTGGAAGCTTAATAAGAAAACCGTAGTCGGACATCTCCGGAAAGTACTATATGTTCGCTGTTAAAAAAATCGGTCCTGTAGTTTTACTCAATTTGAAATTGTTAATTTCCATAAGAACTTACGTATTAACGCCACCGCTGCAAAAATATTATTGTTAAAATATTATTATTATTATAATTTTATTATATTATTATTATTATATTATTATTATATTTAGAAGAAAAACTTTTTTTAAAAGTTTAAAAAGTTGCTTTTTATTGGTTTTTTAATGGAATTTTTGCCGCGGTGGTGTTAATACGTAAGTACCAAAAATTTTTTACGAAAATAATAGCTGAACTTAGGTGGAGAAAAGAAAATTAAAAAAACAAATGGACAAAGTTAAGGTATTAAAAAGAAAATATGCCGAAAACGTAAAGCATAAGAAACTGTAAATAAACCGAATGATGAAATGTTTACCCAAAATCAAGTGTAGAGCAAAATGGTATAGTAAACTGTTTCATGCTTTTTTTTTGTGTAAACACATCCCGTATTGTGATTAATAATTACATACCTACAACTGTGTACATACATTTGTTACAGCATATTTAGACATCTTGGAATATAGTGAGAATACTTCGGCTGAAAATTCATCTCAGTGTAGGTGATAAGATCAATTCAATATATAAATATATAATTTACCTGAAATAATGTTGAGACCTAAGTAGAGCATTGAATAAGAACAAACTGGCACGCAACTTAAACGCATATTAACACTAAACCACAGGACACACACAATTAAATGTAAAACTTAGTTTAATAAGGAATTCTTAAAGGCCCACTAGAACAATGGCCACACTACTTTCCAAAGAGAAGTAAGCAAGCACATAAAGTATCAATAAGCTTACAAAATACTAGCAATATATTTGCAATTTAATTGCAGTATCAAATTCGCCCCTGCGTTACGCAGCACCGATTTCACATAATCGCCTGAGTCGTATATCGAGAATAAACAATAAAAATCACTAACTTGTTTGTAAAAAACACAAAAATGAATCAAAAGTTTCAAGAGAATTCCTTGAAACTCTTGAAGGAACATTAAGGTCTAGCATACCGAGCAAGAATGTTGGAGAGATATCCCTTTCAATAAGTTTTATTAAAAAGTCGAGGATCAATCTTCTTCGCTCGAGCTTAGCTAAATTGATTAAAAGCAAACGATGCTCATACGGAGATAATGTTCTATTAACGTCTCACCAATGACATATAAAGTGCTTTCGTCACATAAAGATGGGTAAATTGCTTCGACTATCCTTTTATAGGTGATTTGGCGTGTAGATTAAAAGACACCACGCCATGGCCGTTAAACGAGCGACTCCAACAGGTCCTCGTCTAACCCATTAATGAAAGTAATGGCATGGTTTTACATTCCTTTATATTTAGCGCGGTTGCATTACCTTTGCCAGTAAACGCAAGTCAGATTGAAGAAAAGAAAAATCTTCAATGTTATGTGAGGAGGAAAAAGTTTGACACAATCGACATACACTAGCATCCCGGAACGTTGAATTATACCGGGAAGTTTAATTTATGAATAAAGTAAACACACGAAGACCTAAATGGGTGCCCTTTGGAACATGGATTTCACTAATATGTGTTCTGACAGATGAGATCGAAATACAACTTTTAGCGTCTGATCTGTAACATAGCTTTCTAGCTTCAAAATTAGAAGATATGGCAAACTTTATCAAACGCCTTACTAAGGTTCGTAAAGATAACATTTGTTTGCATGCCGTTAGTAAATGATGTTAGTGCTTGAAGATTTTAGTCTTATAATTTATTGCTCTGGCTAGATTAACTACAACAATAATAATAATAATACAATGTAAATAGATTGCATAAATAAACGCGTACACATACTTATTCTTAAAAATTGATCTTTTATCCTGATTTAATCAACTTGAATTGATTTTGATTTTTGCGAATCTTTCCTGCTCCTACAAATATCAGTATACCTGTTAGAGCTCCTAATAATACTGGTATATTTGAAATAATTAGCCTCAAGGGTTTCTTGAACGATTTTGGTTCTATAATTTTTACGTTCACTACATCTGATTAATGTGTCTCTCTATCTTTAGCGGTATTAATTATGTGCTTCCGTGCAATATGTTTCAAAGACGTTTTTACTGAAAAATATATGTTTTACGCAACGTCCACATGAAGCATGTATCAACCTCTTTTCTATTTTCAAATTTCTGATATTTTTAAATTTGCTGGTGTTCTTAGCAGAATTTACGTTATGACCTATTTTATGTCAAAGAGCTCGGCTTTCTTAAGAATAAAATTTGTTTGAATCTGATTATATTCTTCCGGCAATTTTCACATCAAACTTTCTACGATAATTTCCAAGCCAATGTCTACCTCATTTTTCTAAACATCGCTTCATAGGGAAAACGGGTTTTGGTACTATTTAAAACACAAAATACATAGCAAAATAACCTTAAGCGAATAAAACAAAACAGTTGTTAAATTATTAAACAAATGTTTGCAGAAAAGATTAAAGGCTTAAGGTATGTTATGTCTTTTTATATTCACCAACATAGCAGCCAATATTGCATATCTTTTTTTCTTCTTTTTTTCAGGAATATGCTGAAACTACAATGAACGAACTACTCGGTTGGTATGGTTTTGATGGTGTTGATCGTTCAGATCTGTCGCCAAACAATCTTTTCGAAAGACTTAGCTGTAATAAAAAGGTGGCAACTCTCCTACCACATCAGCAACGTAGAGAGCATTATCAACAAGAAATTGAGTACTTACGTCACCAGAAAAACAGTACCAATAACAGCAACAGCTCAAGTATATCTATGAGTTGTCGCAGTTATCGCACTACCTTAGGAGATGACAAAAGCAGTTTGTGTGAAGATGATTGCAAAAGTACTCATCCCGCCCATAGAATTCATAAGAAATCATCTTTTGTAGCGGAAGAAAAAATCGGTAGGTAAATGCAATAGGTTCAGCAGTGTGTCATTCTGATTAAACAACATATCTTTGTGCATTAATAATATTAAATATTGAAAATGGCGAACAAAATTGTTAACGTCAGAAAAAGCTAATCATTAAATACGATGCAAAATTTCACGAATACATTGCTTCATTTATTTTCGTTATAAAATGTCAAAAATTATATTTCGTTGCCATTTCATATATGAAGTCACCATTTTGTGAAAACTTAGCTTCTCCTCAAACTTATACAAAAGCAACTTGTAACGCAACATGCGGTGTTTCATTTCCGCCATTGCCCATGTCCTAACGCATACTTTTTTTGTTAATAGCGAATTAGCAGTGCCATAATTAATTAAAAATTAATTAGCAATATAATTAATCAAAAAAATGTTTTCTTCAAATGCTATCTATTTAGCTCGTTGTTTGAAAAAATATGTTAGTATTACGTTGATGTTATCAGCTGTCCAAGCTGTAAAAAAAACCATGACCCCAAACACGTATCTTCACTGTAGTTTTTTTGATTGTACATGGCCCACTTAAAATTTTCTGGCATATGGGGAAAAGTTTTATTAGGCGAAAATATTTTTTCCCGTAGCGCTACAAAAAGAGCGAATGGGTCCTGCCATTGCCACGCAAAACTTTAAAAAAAAACCATGACTTCAAGCACGCATGCCCACTATAGTTTACAACCATCACTGAAGGATGAGGGGAATGTTCATTTTGTCAAAACGGTAGCAACATCCAAAAGAAACCCAACAGTGTATTTGTGACAGAAACATCGGAAGTTCTTTCAAGCAGGTTGTTTTAAAGACAGCCTAATCGGCCAAAGGACACGCCCACAGCATCACGTAAAGTAAGAACACCTCTGTTTTTCAAAAGAAATGAAAATTGGTTTTTTGCTCATTGCTCATAAACATTAGCAAATAAGTGTACAAAACTTGAACGCATATTTTATGATTGACGCTACAGCATCGTGCACAAAAATGGAACAAATTGACAACGCCTACCAAATATTATATTATAACAAACCTTAATTGGTTTTTCAATATTTTTTTAAGACTTCAAAAGCTTCAAAATCCACATAAAGTACACAAATTCTTGGAATACAGCAACACATATCCGCCTACTCATCTGTCCATCTATCTGTTTGCGCTATAGTTTTGGTAAACATTCTCCCCTTAACGAAGATATTGCCTACAAACTTGCAAAAGAATTTGGTATGGCCTAAACGTTTGAAACGACATCCCTACAACGCCAACGTGCCTCTACGACAAAAATTTTTATTTTGAAAATAGATCAGCTGCGCCCACTCCATATAAAACATAAAAATTTTGGTTTTTTACTTCTTTTGTCTGTTTTAGAATAACGATCATGAATACAAAAGACTCGGTCCCGACCGAAGTTAAATTTTCTTAGTTGTTTTTATTGTATATTAGATATTTTTAATTTTCTAGAATATAGGGAGAAGAATTGTTTGTGGGAAAAGAAATGCCTATGTTCCGTTAGCAGCTGCTGCGAAGTTACAGTCTGATATGTTACTTCTCGAATTTTAACTTTTCTAATATATAAACAGATATTTTAAAAAAGGTTGTATTGTCATTTAAGAGCGTATTGCAGATAGAAAAAAATTGCTCCGATGACGGTTAAGTGAATGAAGCAAAATGAGATTTTAAATGGCCATGAAATTAAAATTTTGAGATAAGGTTTTTTGTTAATTGCAAATTTGATTGTAGAGTCGTAAAATGCTCGATTCTGCTTTTTTCCCGGATGCAGTAAAAGCACTATCTTGTAGCAAAAAAATTCCTTTTTTATTGTAATAAAAAAACGTGTCTGCAAGCCATGTCGAAACGCGTTTTCTCCAAACAATAATTTTCAAAGTAGCATATAATTTTAACAAATGCCATTCGTTTCATTGGATTTTTTTACAATATTTTTAATATCAAATTTTAAAAAACAGTTCGTACTAGTTTTGCAATGAGTCAGTTTAAACAAATGGTTGCCTCTTATGGGGTCGAACATATTCATTTAAACACTTACCAATCATACAGAAATTAATATTTTTAAAATCTCGTAGACGTTTAGCGTAAACGATCATAATTTTTTATTGTTTAATTGAAATCTGCACCAGTTGCGCTGTATTCCGCAGCTTTTAATACTTAAATGTATTCTCAATAACTTCCATTAATATTACTTTTCTTCCTTTCCTTCCTATTCAAAGAGGTTGTCACAGAAAGGCCTTTTTTGAAGCAGTGGCGTATCACTTCAATTGCCTGTTTTTCGAATGTTTTTCCATCTGGGTCGTTAATCGATTTTTGAAGAGTTACCACGAAAAATAAAGGAGTAAGAACATTATATTCGGCTGGGTCCAAATCTCGCGTAGTCACAACCACTAAAATTTTTGTCGCCATACGGTGCTGTTTATTGCCACAAAAAAATAAATGGGATAAAATTTTTCTATCACTTTTTAGTCCACTAAAAGTTATTGATAAGAAAAATTAATTTACCATGTCGCAATTTCCAATATTACTAGGCTAGAATTAGCATACTTAATTTTTCGCATTCTACTCTCAAAGCCTTTTAATTTGATACCTATATGCGCGGCACTTTAAAGACAACATTTTTGGAATTAATTAAAAATTAACGCACTTAGCTTGTCGCATTGTACCCACCAAGTCCTTTTGCGTGATACCCATATCAACGGTATTGTAACGAAAAAATTAACTCACGACGTCGTGGCGCCCACATCACACTATTAAGAAAAAATTGATCAACCAGATAATATTCCTTCATTTGACAAAAATGCAAAATAGTTTTAAATATTCTGCCTATTCTGCCTACTTACCTTATGATTAATAAGCACAAAATCCCCAAAAATTTACAAAAAAACGTAATCACTTATAACTTTGTGCGAGCATGGAATTTTTACACATAAATAGTGTAATTTCTAAAGGTAAGTTTGGAAAATTTCAGCCTTCTATCTTTTATAATTTCCTTACATTCTTTTGAGATTTAATGTAAAATTGAATTGGCGCGAAGTTACTAAATTATTAAAATCACCTTGGTAGAAATATGAATAACGCTCCAAATTGAAGGGTGAGAACAATTTGATGTTAACTGTGTATATTAGGTTATATGAAGATTTAATTATCGGTGAGAGACCATTAATGCATAGGATAATTTGAATAGGACCTGAGTGGTTCCTGTAACATTTGTTATTTTTGCAGCCTAGTAGTGTTAATGCATAATTTTTTTTTTGTTTGGTTTTCTAATTGGTTAAGAGAGATTCGCGCTTTCGATCAGTTACGTTTCTTATAAGAAAGAAAAACGACATTAAGAATTATTTTCAAAAACTTTAAATTCTAATAGAATTGTATCCGTGCAAACGTCTTTAAATAGAAGATAATATGAAAAAAAAATTATATGAATATTTTTAATGTTCGTAATATAAACATAAAATATTTTGGGGGTCGAATAAAAAACAATATGTCGTTGCGAAATAGTGTTGCTGTCATTGCTAGGATATCGTGAAATAGTAAAATTTGTGGTGGTTATTACTTTCATATTGCAAAAAAAAAAAAGGAAAAGACAAAAAGTTCATTTGACAGTGCCATCTTTACCTATATTGTAAACTGTCTGAGAGTAAAAACTTTCGTGTTAAATGTGAATTCTTTGAATACGTCTGCTCGGCTATTTCCGCCAAAACTAGCACTGTTTAATTGCCATAATGAATTCAACAAAGAGTGTTCTTAATAGTACGAAAAAAAAATAGAACTTCTAAAAATGGTAAGAATAATTCGGTACCAATCATTCATATTAATTGTTATTTTATTTAAGAAAATTTTTTGCTTATAAGCAATTTTTCTTAAGCTAAACATATACAAAAATGCTTACTCTACTGATATTGTAATATAAATATAAACAAGTAAGAAAATTAAATTCCGTCGGGACGGAAACTTTTATACCTATCACCCTTTATCCCAAAAAAAGACAAAATAAACAAAAGAACAAAATTCTCATATTTTATAATATGAAATGGGCGCAGTTGATTTCGTCTATTTTCAAAATAACAATTTTTGTCGAAGCATGTGGGCGTTGTAGGTGTGCCCTTTGAAATGTCTAGGTCAATTCCAAATTGTTTTGAAAATTTGTAGGCGATATCTTCATTTTCGCTAACGGAAGAGTGTTTACCACAAATACTACAAAGTTGCGCAAACACACAGGTGGACAGACAAACAGACGGACATGTTTAGGTGCGTTCAAAAGTTATAAATGGCCAAGAAGTTGTACACTTTGTAGGGTTTACGAAGTTTGTTTCTGCTTGTTATAAAGGTATTGAAAAAATACTTAAATTTTGATAAACCATAATATTCGACCGGCGTGGGAATTTTATTCCATTTTCGTGCACAGATGCTACGGCATCACCCATAAAATATGCGTTCAAGTTTTCGTACATTTATTTGCTGTACTTTATGAGCAATGGCCAGAAACCAATTTTTCATTCCTTTTGAAAAACAGAGGTGTTCTCAATTTGCGTGATGCTGTGGGAGTGTCCTTCAAGTGGTTTGGTCTATTTTCAACAAAAATCTGCGCGAGAGAATTTCCAATGTTTCTGTCCCATTTGAAGTCGATAGCTTCAGTTTTGCGGCCAGGAGAATGTTTACAACAGACATTGAACGGACGGTCAGATGGACAGACGGACGTGCTTAAATCGATTTATGATTAAAAATATATATATGTTTATTTATTTATTTATTTTATTTATTCCACTTATACTAGAAACTCAACTAAACAAATAACAGTCGAGTTCAATTGGCTCTTAATGCAAAACTTATATAAATTAACAATAAAATTGAGTATAAGCATAATAAAACAAATAAGAAGAAAAAAAAAAGAAAAAGAAAAAAAAGCATGTGCACTATCAGCATAGGAGCACACTTACAACCGGTACAGGACCAAATTGCAAATGAACCCCTAAGCCATCGCAAACATGC